GCCAAAATTAACATGGCGGATTTTGAGGCAAATTGACACCATTTCCATGACTACGTAGCTACTGGTCTCTAAATTCATGGTAATTTCCATGCACTCAACAAGGCTCAATTATGAGCCCGCCACAGTTTCACCCGCTCCCTCCGTTTTTGAAAAAAATATTTCAGCATTTTGCATATTTTTTTGACTGTTGACCATTTGGTCAAAGATGTGGAAGTCGTACACGTTAATTCTCGTCCGTGGAGCTCGAATAACAATAAACGACTATTAAAACCTCGCGAAATGTGGGCAAAAACGGGGGGATGAAGTACATCGTCGAAAGCTTAGGGTTGCGGTTGCGACAGTGGTAGTTGCCATGAATCTAGGGACTAGTAGTCATGGCATTGGGGTCAGATCGGTCATGTTTTTGGCGACATTTTTTATGGTCCTCCAGTAATCAGTATAGCTCAGTGCATGGGGAATACCAAATGGTTTTCCGTGCAGGATAGCGTTGTCCATGCACGCGGGATGTTGCAAGACTTTTCGAGAAGCGTTAAAATAAGAGCCACAAATGCACGAGTGTTTCTTATGCTTTCCGAAAGTCGAGCAACATCCCAATACAGCGATGCTTTAATTAATACATGTCAAACGGTTAAGTATAATACAATAAAACAACAGTTCTAGTTCAATGCTGCTTATTGAAATTAACATTGAAATTTCCAATGGAACAACTGCTAAACAGAGATCCGAAGTTTGGAAGATTGGGCATTTGAGACCAACTCCTCCACTTCATTTTCTGTAGTCAGGGCAAACCTTCGTTCGCTGTTTTTATTGACTTGTATCTCTTTTAATATTTTGTTAACTTCACATGCACGTTATTATAAAATGTTTCATTTTCCCACATTTTTCCTTGCAGGAATGTCTTATCCTGCATGGGTATTGACCAATCAAATTGCGTATTTCACTGTATATTATATACATTTTTCTTCTATAAAACAGTAACTAAATAAAAATATAAATTATAAATTAATATATATAATTAAAATTAAATAAATATGTCAATGATTAAATTAACGTACTGTTTAATAAACGAGCAGGAGTGTTTTATTAGGTTTAAAGTCACGAGCGCGCAGCGCGAGTTGCTTTAGACCTAATAAAACACGACCTGCGAGTTTATTAAACGGCTTCAAACACGACTACAAATTCAATAGATTTACCGCCTTATTAGTATTCTTTATATAAAAAATACTAATGAGGACACGACAACAATAGATACTGCCTTATTAGAATTCTTTATATAAAGAATACTAATTAGGAGTGTTTTATCAGGTTTAAAGCCACTGCACGTGACATATTATGGTTGACATGATTTGCCAATAAGCTTATGAATTATTAATGAGTGTTTGAAATATTGATAAAATATATCTTTAGTCTGGAAATGAACAAATTAATTAATATATTTATTAGCTGATGAACAAACGAACGAACAAACGGAACCAATGGAGGATTAAATTAATTAATGAATAAATATTTTCAGGTTTCCTGCAATAATATAAAAAATTGTAAAAATGGAGGAAAGACAATCATTGATCTCAAAGATGGACCTGGCTCAGATCCTTACAGATGCGAATGTTCCAAGGAATACCAAGGAGATCTTTGCGATAAATTTGGTAAGATAGGCTATATAAGAAAGCTGTAAATTTAAACCTGTTTAAAAATCTTTGACTCAATTCTCAATTGAAGAAAGAAGTGTTTGTTGATTTGATGGGTGTTGTGGATGGAAATTTATTAGAACTGAATGTCAGAAACCAGTTTAGTTGATCAGAATATAATTTGCTTTCTTCCACGGCGCTAAGCTGTGGCGCTTCCATGTTTTCTTTCACTCGCTGCTCGGCATCATACATGGCATTTAGAAGCGGTGGCTGTCGATATGATTGTTTTTGTATAAACTTTGCAATCTCGCCGGGAAGTATATTCGTCTTAAGTCGATCCTGATCACTCGGATTTGATCAAGGGATAGCTACTAATCAAAGAATCAGTACGGAATTTCCACTGGCAAGATCATAAACTGTCAAGGAATTTCCATGGCATGGGATGGGTTAAAAGATCATAAAAAATTTGCGGAAATTCCATGGGGATGTATGGCTAAAATTCAATAAAAATCTGCGGAAATTCCACAGGGGAGGCTAAAAATTCGCTTAAAATATCTGGAAATTCCAGGAGGGGGGGGACCAAAAATGGATGTCCTCAATAGGGGGGGGGGTGCGGATTAATAATGCGACGACCCAACGTTTGACAGCCGAATTATTTGGCTGGTCAGCAGGCTGCGAAAAATGCAACTTTAGCTTCCTGGCAGGAATCGAACATGCGGCCCTGGGATTCCGCGGATGCAACGCTCTATCCAACTGAGCTACAGATACCAGTTGTCGAGCTCTAGTATCACAAGTACTAGGGTACTGCCACTGCCATTGCCGTGTATAGATTATGAGTATATAACATACAATGATTTTTTGGTGGTATCTCACTTGATTGAATAATATAATAATATTTGATTGGTATTCCAGATGGAAATTGTCCAGTGGAAACTTATGTAGAATTATTAGACCTAAGGTTGGATTCCTATCAGGGACTTGAAATTGCATTTGCTACATGTTCCTGGTTAGGTCTAATAAATGAAAAAGTGTGGGGCCCTGAAATAATACTTGTGAGAAAATATAACATGATATTGAACGTAAAAGATCTGGAGTCAATCGGAAAAGAAACCTATATTGTCGTAGTTTGTATGGCCAAAACAAAAACCAACAAGGCCACAAAATGTCTACAACACCAAAATCGTAAGAAATATCATGAAACTATTGTTGAATAAATAAGACTGCAACTCACTCAGATAACGTAGTCTTCATATTTTAAACTTGTAAACTGCTTGAAGAATGTCATCGAGCCACAGACATAGTTCATAGTTCAGAGAGAGAGAGAGAGAGAGA